GGGCCGTGGGGGGGCGGCGTCGCCCGGCGCTGCTGGAGCTGCGGCCCCGGGAGGATGCGCTGGAAGGCGGAGAGGCTCGGGGAGGCGCGTCGCCGCCCAGCGATGCCTGCGCTGCGCGTAAAAGCCCCGAGCAAACCTCCGCCCGCGGACTTCGAGGAAAGGCTCCGCCGCTTTGGCTTCGCCGTGAGTGGCGCGGCGTCGGTGCTCTGCTGCCGAGCGCTTCTGCTCGGGGAGCTATTCCCCCCTCCCGTCAACGGGCAGAGAGGATCGGGGCACTCGGCCCGGGGGCGCCCCCTTGCCTATCCCCGTCTTGCTGTGAGAGTCAGTGGCCTGGCTGGGCAGGCGTTAAGAGGGGTGCCTGCCCGCGAGTAAATCTCTGGGTGCTCAGTGGGGCTTCCTGCCCAGTCAGGGGACTTTACACCCCTTCCCTCCTTTCTTTTAGGGAGGGAGGGTTGGAGGGTTGAAGGTTACATTTTATTTACGTAGGGAGCTGAAGATGTGGGTCGTAGTAACTGTTCCCCCAATTTCTAGATTCCCTGGGCCTCAATTTCTGTGGTCATAAAACAGGCACGTTAATATTACAGTACGGGCAAATTTCGTTCACGCTCAGAGGCCTTCCTAGGCATGGCCCTCCGGTTGTCTTCAGGAGTTTGGGGCGGCAGCTCTCTAAACCCGGCTCCTGGGCGTGCATGATGGGCTTCGGAATCCACGACTCGTGGAGGGCGCCAGGGAGCCGTTGCTGCGGGTTGGAAAAAGACTCGATCCCGCTGGAATGGAAAACTCATTTAGCTTGGACGGAATCGAACTTTCATTCATTTCTTTCTTCTTTTAATTCTTTTTAAATTTCCCTTTAATGTCAGGATTATGAACAGGAAGGAAGGTGTCTTTCATGCCGTTAGAATGAAAGACGCCTTCCTTTCCTTCCTTATTCGCTTTTTCCCTGCAAGGGACAGGCGTTGCAGAACCGCAAAAATCCAGGGTTTCTGGGTCAAGGTTTTTCCAACCGGCAAAACACTTCTCCAACGAAATGAAACTGAAAACCAGGTTTGTCTGCACGGCCCAACATTCGGCGACATAAGAATTGTTTTGTGCTCGGTCCGGTACGAGCAGGTAGCCAACAGAGAGAATACCGGAGAAATCGCAAAGATTTCCTGCGCTGGAAAACCTCCCGCCGCCAGTAAACCCGAAGCAGCTCGCCAAGCGATGTGCACCTCCGCCTTCAGCCTGCTGAGACTCTTCCCCTAGTAAAGTGGGGCGGGGGAGGGGGATTTATGCCTCTCTGAGCCCGTGGAAACTCCCGCGGAGGGACCTGCCTGCTTTCGAGCCTCCTGGCGACCCAGCGGGCCCCAGGTCAGCAATCTCAGCGGGATCCTCTCCTTCGGCTGGTCATCAAGGCTGGGGTCCTCCGAGCGACTGTGCTCCCGAGCCCGGATCGGGCGCCTCCGTGAGCCTGGGCCGCTGCTTTCAAAGGCGCTCAGAGAAATGCGGGGAACTCACCAGCCGTCGTTTTCCGAACTAAGTTGGCTTCGGCTTGCAGCCTCCTTGTCGCTGTGCCTGGTTTTCACCAATCGCTATGTTTGTTGTTACTATCATTATTGGTGTCTATTTGTAGCTACTGATGTCGGCTGTGGTATCAATACTAATCTGTGTCAGTAAGGAGGATCATAATGATAATAGAAACGCAGGGAAACCAGCGGTGATGCGCTCCCTGCCCCGCCGCCTCCCGGCCACCTGCCGCCCTCCCTGCCCCGCGCAAAGAAAAGGCCCAGCTGTGAGCGGCGTCTGGTTACCCCGTCCCGAGCGGTGGCCCTGATTTATGGACCTGGTGCGAGAGACTCGAGGAAGCCGCTACCTTTGTACGGTAGGGCACGGCAGAGGGGGACTAAGGGCGAACCAACTGGCGGGGAAAGCGCTGCGAGGAAGCGCCAGGCTCGCTCGGTTCGGTGGAGATTGCTCGGGAGTCAGCGGCCCCGGGATCGCTGCGTGGTGTTTGTGCTGATAGGCGGGAAAGGGGATTTACTTTCGAGGAAACCCTTCGTTTTCCCTCGCTGATTCCGAAGCAACGTCCGCTAATCCGGAGCTCCTAATTTTCCGAGCGGACGCGTTTCGGTGTGGAAATGCGTCCGGATTTCAAAAGGGCTCCGATCGGAATGGAAGCTGGACTTGTCCTTCGTGTTATTCAGAAGGCCTGGAATGACCAGAAAGGAAGGAGATTTCGGGGCCCTTCGGAACTTGCGTCTTCCTTTTCCCGTGTCTTGTTCAGCACAAGCTTAATTTTGAACGTATAAATCAGGAGCTGCGCGTCTTTTATTTCAGGCGCTTTCTCCGGGGGGATCTCATGATGACGAGGCTTACCGGCATTATTACTGTACTTTGTTTACCTTCCGTAACTGAGAAGTCTGGGTTCCCCTCCCCTCCCCTGGAAGAGTTAATTGCGGGTCTTTTGAAATTGCTGGTGACTTAGCCCATCGACCCTTTGAAAATGAAGAACAGGGCGGGACGGGAAAAGGCGCAAGGAAGAGCCATCAGAAGACCCCCGGATACATGGAACACTCTCCCTAGGAGAGAGAAAAAAGCAGTTATTGTAAAGTGTTAGGTGCTGTTCAGATTAAGGGGAAAAATGGGGAAATCGAGGCCATTTTTTTGCAGTTTACGTTGGAGTTGCCAAGACAGGAGCTAATATTCCCTGTTAATCGCCCACCACTGGTTTTCTGGTACCCCCAAACCAAAATTTAAGCAGCCTGGTGCTGATTCTTCAAGCTCCCCCAAATAAGCAGGTTTTCGTACTTAATCCACCCCAGAGCCAAAGTGTGCAAACCTCATTCCGCTTTCCTCCGCCCTGTCCATGTGACCACTCAGCATTGATCCGTCATTGGTGGATTCCTGGGGATGTGCCCGCCTCTGAGGAGAGGAGGAGGTGGAAATGCAAGCCATTGGCCACTTATCACCCAATCAGGTCCCCCCAATTTTCTCTCGCTCCTCGTCGGGACAATACATTTTGCTAGCCAACCGAAGCAGCCGCAAATCGGGGAAGACGCTGAGTAAGGGGCCCAGTTAGGCAAGCCTTTCCGAGAACTTAGACAGTCCAAACTAGCCATGGTTATCTTGGCTTAAATCATGCTCATTTAATAATGCCATGCTTATTTTTCACTTTGGTGCAATTCATCAGGTCAGAGGTTCATCACTGGCTGGGTGCCCGCAACACATTAAGCCACAAAAACGTGCCAAGGTCAAAACTAACCAAGTGGAGTGTCTTGTGAGAATGCATCCACTGGGACTTTGAGGATCTGCTTAAGCACGTAGTGCAGACCAGTCAATCTGTGTGCTGCGTGCTCGATATGAAAGCATACCGAGATCAAGGAGTTTCCTGTTAGGTGAGTGACTGAGGGCTGTATTAAAACCCTGCTAAGTATGTCTACTCAGACATAAGTACCCCTCTGCATAAGCCTACACCCCATTAAATTCACTGGGACTTCTTTTCCATAGGAAAGGTTAGGATCACTTTATAAGAGGCTTCTGGAGAGAATGGTCTTTTCTCCCTTCTTCCCGTCAGGAAATCACTGCTTGGGATTTCAGGATTCCTCCCTGCAATTTCCCCAACGATTTTCAACTCATACGCTAAGCAGAATTAAATTTCTGAAGCTCCCTATTAAAAGGAAGTGGGGGGAGCCCACTACCTAAGACGGATGCCCAGAGAGAAAGCAGCCTCCGGGCGTGTAGCCTTTATTTTTTCTCATGCTGGCTGGGTTGCCGGGAGTTTGTGATCCAGCGATGCATTCCCTGCTGACTAACTGGAGCCTCCATGTCAAGAGGCACTATACCTTGGTGTCAGTTTTTTGCAGAAGAAGGTCATCTCTTGGTCTTCCAGGGGCATTGGACTCCAGCAGGCACCCCAACTGGTCATTCAACTCAACTCTAGTTGGCAAAGACTGGGCCAAAACACCTCCAGCTCTCCTTCCTAGTATCTTTGGTGCCTCTTTTTGCTGAGGAGGCTGGGAGGATCAGTTCTGAACCTTTGGAAGAGTCTTTGGGTGGGTGGGTAGAACCCAATGCCATTTCATTTGGAGCAGGCAGAGAAAATGTGTAACTCAGTCAGGCAACACACTAGCAGATGACTTCACATAAAGGGCTAAGTTTGGCTAGCTTAAATTTTAATTTTTTAAGTGTTGGGTGAAACCGGCCCCTCTGATTAGTTTAAGGCTTCATGTATTGTGCAACTGCAGAAAATGATTAAATTCAGGAACTAGATTAAGTGCTTATGCATGTCAGCTCCTGCAGTGTGAGCATCGCCTCATCTTCACAAGCGAGTGAGGACAGATTATCCCCTTCCCAGGTGGGACACAGGAGCATTTTAGGTTCGTGAGACCTACCACTGGCTGCCTCTTAGTCAGTAGATCACATGTGTGTACAATTAAGTGCACATGTGTACACGCAGATGCATTTGAAAAGTCGTGTTGATCTGGTGAAGATTCAGCTGGCAATGCAGCCAACCTTAGGAGTCAGGCTGTGTCGTATGAAAATCATTCTTAGGTAAAAGCATGGTTTTTAACACTTCCTCCTTCAACTGTCAACAAAGTATTGTCTGAACAGTCTTTATGTGGCTTTTCCCAGCAGTTAAACAACGAAGCATCCAATCAAGATCCTACCCCTTTTTATTAAATCTTGAACCCCTTCTCTTTGGGCTCAGAAGCTCTTAGGCAACCTTCTGACCCTGTAGATGGTTTTACCTGTTAGACAGAGCGTATTTCTTGAGGGACCAGATCAAAAGAGGGAAGAAAGAAGGAAAAGACACATTCCAGGTCAGCAGTTGGCTTTCCTTGTTTCTGTTTCCCTCCACCATTGCCAGAGACCGACCGACCCTTCCTTCCTTCCTTCCTTCCTTCCTTCCTTCCTTCCTTCCTTCCTTCCTTCCTTCCTTCCTTCCTTCCTTCCTTCCTTCCTTCCTTCCTTCCTTCCTTCCTTCCTTCCTTCCTTCCTTCCTTCCTTCCTTCCTTCCTTCCTTCCTTCCTTCCTTCCTTCCTTCCTTCCTTCCTTCCTTCCTTCCTTCCTTCCTTCCTTCCTTCCTTCCTTCCTTCCTTCCTTCCTTCCTTCCTTCCTTCCTTCCTTCCTTCCTTCCTTCCCTCCTTCCTTCCTTCCTTCCTTCCTTCCTTCCTTCCTTCCTTCCTTCAAGAAAGGCCTCGCTAGTCCACTGCTAGTCTTGTGATCGGGCACCGCGTATGGCATGGAGCTCCAGTTCTTTGGGGTTTCCTAAAACAGCAGTTTAGGTTTGTAGTGTTTGATTCAGCACATCATGGTTCAGCCCTTCCGGGCTTTGAGCAATG